GAGATCGTGTGGGGGTTTTTTATTACCTGTTTGATTGAAGCTGCTGCTCTCAAAAGATGTGCAGTGAGTGCCTATTGTGTACACCACATGTTCATTCTAAATCAATTTATTGGGTTTTTTATGTCGTTGCTCACCTATTGAAAGGAAGAAGCACTGATATTACTTGCAACTCCAATTCTTTCCAAAACAGCTATAAAAGAAAGGCATTCCTACATTAAACGCATTTTCTCCAAAATCTATTCTTTAAAGTGACATAAAAATCTCCTTTTTTTCTCTCTCCACTTTATCCTTTCCAGTACTTGTTTCCTGCTTTTTTCAGCAGTTTTATTCAGCTATACTTAAAGCAATGTGGTTTCTGCATTTCACATTCACTTCCATGCTGGGCAGGTTTATATGTGAACACTGTTCTGGTTTGAGGGTCTCCATTAAATTTAAAAAAAACCCCACAAATCTGAAGGGCACATTCACGCCACCCTCTGCTGCACTGTGAGGAAAGGCAGGGGCTGACACAGGTGCCAGTGCAGGTTCAGGTGGTGGGGAAGGTGTCTGCCCAGACCAACTTTATCCCAGACACTCTAATCCCCCACACTAAATGAAGTTTGTGCTGCCCTGGCCAAGATCCCGTCCTTCTGCCGGCTCTGCACTGAGATTGGGCTGCAAACACCCCTGGATCCCCAGAGTCAGCCAAGGTAGGGGATACAACAAAGTCACCTTTGGGTATTTCTGACATTTTCCAAGTCCTAATGTCAGGCAAGAGGCAGATCCTTTGGATCCCAGTTTCCCCAGCACCTCGGATGAGTTGAGTGCAGAGCTGCAGCTCCTGCCTCTCTTTGCTCTCCCCATACCCCACCCATCTGATTCCAGTGCCTGGGCTCCCCTCTGAGCCCCACGACAGCAAAACCAGCCTTGGCATGTTGCATGAATTCTGCTGCAAGACATTTCACCATGTAGGCATCTTAAAACAAAAAACAAAAAAAACAAAAAAACAAAAAAACAAAAAAAAAAAAAGAAAAAAATGCAGAAAAGACTGGTGTGGGAGCAGGGATGAGCAGCTTGGAGTGGGTGGCTGGGATGGGCTTCCCTTTCAGCAGCAGAGCCAGCTCAAAGTATTTATGAAGCCCCAACCTTTGTTTCCTCAGTGTCTTGCAGAACCCCATTTTCCCATTGCAGCTTGTGCATGCCAAGCTCCCTGCTCCAGTATTCCCAACTGAGCTGTGCACAGATTTACATCTAAAGGCCAGAACAAGCTTGTTAGAGAGATTCACAGGAGTTTGGAAAAGGCAGAGATTTGTAAGAGTCACTTAAAAGTCCTCAGAATTAGCAGTAAAGTTTACTGTAGGCTGACTGAGGATTAAAGTTTTAGTGCATTATTCATCTCCAGGAATTTTGTCTTGCTGTAGGTTTCATGGACCCCTCTGGGTAAAGCTGCCTTGCCATATCATTTTTTTTATTAGAGCCTCCAATGCTTACTGAAAAATGTCTTTTAATTTTGCTTTTTCTTCAGCAAAGACTTCCAAGTTTGCTAAAATATTGAACTATGATTTTAATGTCCTAAAGGGGCACTGGTATCTCCAACACCCACTGCTTTTATGACTGAAGTTCAAAGCTCAACATGTTTTAAATAAGCTGTCAGGGGAGGTGGAGCATCCTGCCTGTTCAGCTGTGTCCTGCTCCTGGAAAATTTTATTTTGCTGCACCATTTTAATTATCCCCATTGCAGCTACAACAAGCAAGAGCAGAGAGCTAATGAATAAAAATCAAATGAAGAGGTGGAAATTTCTGCGAGAAAATATTTGGAGTCTTCACTGAGCATTGTTGATTTCCATGATAGCCACAGACAGAAATGATTCTTCAATGTTTCACTAACTTTTTACTCCTTGTCTTCTCACTCTAGTTTAATAGGTGTGGAATTTTTAAAGCAAGTGAACAGTGGTTAAGCAGAACTACACTGAAAATTAATATCAACTCAAGGCTGAGAATGGATTAATGCATAAAGCACTGCTGCAACTGCTTCTGGAATTCTTGCTGGTGCCAAATGTACAAGTTATTTAATTCCACTGGAAGAAAAAGAAAAACCAAAAAACCACAACTCAAAATGAGCAGTATCACAGAAGTACACAAACAATAAAAAATTACACATGCCTACTGTGAAATCATTTAAAGTAGAGTTAATGTGATCCTTTTATACTTTCTGATTTTCTATTTCCTCTCTTTTTTCCATACTCAGATAAAGAAAAAACAAAATATGCCCAAAGAAAGGCAGTTCTAACTGCTGCAGTCTTTTCTTCTCAAAAGGCCTCGACAGCCTAAGAGTGCATAGTTCTAAAAAAAAAAAGAGGAACCCAAATGTTCACAACCAAACTCAGAGGTGATCTATCAACCCCAAAACCCCCTTTTTGGCATCATGCACAGACCTGGCTGCAGCATAGAGATACTCCCAGCTGATAGAAAATTACTAGAATCCCATAATGCCAAGAGGCAGAGATGAAGTTTTCAGAATTCCATGAGAACCCTTCAGGTTTCCAGCACACTGGAAGCCTCCAACTGTATTTCTGCATACAGCCTTTTTTTGAGACAGGTGCTTCAGTTTGCAGTAGAAAGGGACATGGCTCAGTTCTATACTCCAGTATGACTCCAAGCTCAGCCTCCAGTTCTCAAATGCACCTGATAAAGCAGATCCTGTCCTCTGAGATGAAAACCTAGACAAGAAGTTTGGTTTAATTTCTCAACAGATTTTCTCTCACTACTTTTCCTCTTCTGCTGTCAGGGTTTCTTTCTGAGCTTGTTCTATCTTCTTACCACTGCTGTTCTTGATAAGCAGGATAAACTTTAAAACAGCACCTTGGTTCTTTAGCAACAACTTTTCTTCACTCCACAAAAAACAAGTTTATACCTTCTGAATAATCCCAGAAATCCCTTACAGTGCAATACAGTGAGAGAAATCAAATTCTGCCAGCATTACTTGGTGTAGATGTAACCAGAAGAGAGGGCAGTGAAAAGAAACCCTGAATTAGCTCAATCCTTGTGTGCTCTAAGATAAGCCTCAGCTTGTCGAGCATAATGCCAATATTACAGTTTTTGTAAGCACCAGGAGTTAACAGATGTTGTAAAAAATATCCTTTAATTTCTGTGAAATGCTCTGACAAGTAATAAATAAGAATGTTTTAAAAACTTCTACTTGCCTTTTGGTAAATAAAATATTTCCCCCACAATTAGAAAATCTATTAGCTTGAGATGCTTAAGGATTATTTTTACCCACCAATTACAGCAGTTCTACATGTCAAACGAGGTCTTAACTATGTGTCCCCATCATCTTTAAATTGCACTCTCAGATAATCCAACATCACAGACACCAATTATCCATGTATTTAGTTTCAAACTCCTTTGTGTAGATTGCAATTTCTTCCACACCAGTTCATTCCGAAATAATACCAATTAACTCAGTAGAATCCCATAAATGATAAAGGCTACAGGATTAGAATTTGCCATCTTTAAAGTCTGATTTTCCTGGTATCTGCTCAACACATTCATTTGACTGAATCTGCAAGAATGATAAAGTAACAAAATGCAACCAGAGTGTGACTTGCTGCCTGCCAGTTACTTAGTGTAGGGAAACTCCAGCAGTTTCTTGGGGTTAGTTGCTTATATGAATAAATAAAGTAGCTCCTTCTTTTTTTTCCCTATTATTTAGAGCATTTCCCATTAAATGGGAGCAAATTTCCCCTTACCCTTGCATGGGGCAGGAGCAATTGTTTGACTAATTACAATTCTACTAATTGAAACCTGCAGCCAAATTGACACTGAAGAACTTTCCCAGATGAGGCTACTGAGTTGTGCCTATATCAATGCCCACAGTAAAGAAGACTGAATAATTCATGGATTACAGTTTGGGTTCTCTGCACCCACAGAAGAAATGCCTCCTCAGCAACAACTGTGTATTCCTAAACTGTAGCAAACTGGCACTTCAGCAGCAGATGCTAATAAAAATAGACATAAAACTTCTTTCAATCATTTATTCTAGTTGATTTAAAACCTCATGTGTCTTCTGCCAAGTGTAAAAACGTTTTAGAGTCATACAAACTAAATAGATGGCCCATGGTGACATAAAATGAAATCAGCACATAGTAGGGATTATCCATTTTTATTTTTTTTTTAGAAATGGATAAATGAAATCACTGTGCTCCAGGAACACGCTTAAAAAAAAAATACACCAGGTAGCTTTCCCCTTAACAAATTTTCACATTGCTTGTAATTATGCAGATTGGACCTGGAATAACAGAAACATGAATCCAGTGTCCCCCCAGAGCTCTGTGACAACAAGGACATTCACAAACCCCCCACCCCGCCCCCCCAATTCCTCGAACACTTGCAGAATCCCATTTCTACATCTAGCTAAAAATATTCTTGTCAAAATAGAAAAAGATTTTCCTACAAAAATTTTTTTTGGGGCGGTGGGAAGTCATGACACCACTTCTAAACTGCTTAGCAGACAAGTAAGAACGACGACGAGCATTCCCGGAGCCTCCCGTTCCAAGATTCCAGGCGGATTTTCCCGCTCCCAAGAACAATCCAATATTGCCACCGTGTGGTCAGGGACGGGCGCCTTCCCCGGGACAGCTGCGCAGGGAAAACCAGGGACAAATACCTGTGAGTATTTGTATGAGTAACCACGCTGCAAGTAAAAAAAAGGAAACTGGATCCTGAGAACTTGAGTCCTTATGCCGGGAAATCAACTCTAAGTATGGACCAGGGTAAGGAAAATAATTTAAGATATTTTGTGATTAGTTCTTCAGCGTCGTGACGCTCCCCTTGCTAAAGGCACAATCCATTTCTGCTCACTTTTTTCCTCAGTACAGCATGTATTTGCCAACAAGGAAAATACAAGTGTATGCAACATGCCTAATACCATTCATTTCTTCAAATATAATCATACTTGAAAATTTCAAAATCTTCTTCCTGGAGTTCAGGAAGCCATAGAAATTGATTTAGGAGAGGATCTTTCACATAGACTTTTTCATTGCTGCCTTCCTCACACTGAAGAGATATGCTTCATAAATAATGTTTAGGAAGTTGTCATCATTCTGAAAAACAAAACAGGTAATTGTTAGCAGGATAACTGGAGTAAAGAGATTAGAAGGTTATTCCATTTTATGGACCAGATACTTTAACCTTACTCTTTTTTAAAAAAGAGAACGATGGCAAAGCCCTTTCCTTCACCAAGATCTGTTTGATTTCCCATGACTGCACCTCAGTAGGGAGCAGTGAGTACAGAGGAAAAAGATTGTCTAAACTCACAGTGCATTTAAATTGAGTCCAGTATTGTTGCATAATAACTCAGTGACAATACTGAAGTTACAACCCTGCAATTTCTCTTCTTTGCTCTCATTTATCTAGGGACTTCCTTAAGTTGTATCCTCTGTCAGGTCAGTGATAATTCCAAGCATTTCTGAAGGAATAATGAAACATTCTAGATTGTGATCCTACACTAAAATCCTACCTGGGAAAATCCTTGCATCCTGTTTAGCTCTTTTTAGCCTTAATGCTCCTAAGGGATGCTGCTCCTTTTGCTCTGATGTTTAACTTTTTCCTTCTGGAGAACATTTTGCAAGAATGAGTCAGCCCACATTAAGAAAGAATGTTATAAGTAGCTCACATAAACATATGAGGATAATTACAATCAAGATAATATTTAAGGTAAAATTAGGAGCATCCAAGATTGTAGTTTTATATAATGGAAAATGACAGCTAACAAATTGGCAGTGAACAATTTTCAGGTAACTACCACTAAGAATAGCAGGGTTAAATATATATTTTACAAGTACAAAGTTACAGAGGGTAAACCCCAATCTTCCTTGATTAGTTTCCTCTTTAACTTCAAGTATGGTTTTAATAGGATCCAGACACTCAAAGTTTGTAAAGACAAGATAATGTGATTTTTTTTTTAAATCCCAAAATGAAAATACAGGGGAAAAATGGGAAAACCCTCCAGCTTGTTAAAGATACCATTTCTTTCCTGAATTTATAACTTAACATTTTAAGTACCTTACAATAATAACTTTTAATTTTATTCCAAAGCCCTACAGGCACATAGTTTTGGCCTGCAAACTGGACATGTTTCTCTGCTCCTTGTGTTCTGCAGCCAGTCTTTAGTTATGTAATCTCTCCTCAACTTCTACTCTTCAGATATAACTCACACAGCAAGTTAAGGAAAAAAAAATTCATAATTATGTATCATGCCAGAGCAGTAAACGATCATCTCATACGTAACATTGTTAATGCTTTGTCACAATTAAACCTGAAAAACTGCAGCAAAAGGAATTTTATTCCATGTAATTCTCTAGTTCAAGTGCTAAACTGAATTAATATATATTCATATTATCTAGCCCATATTTTAAAGTGGCTCACACTCATCCTGCAATTTTAATCTCCCATCTGAATTCCTCTTACTGCTTACACACATCTCTGAAATATTTGGCAGCTAGGATAATCACCCATTATTTATCCTTAGCTAAAAATATAATAGATGTCTCTCTGGCTCATAGGCTGACCTTGCAAAGATTTCAGTCATCTTTGTTCTTTTCCACCAAATTGATTACCTTTCCTGGACCCCAAATCAGATGCATTAATCAAAATGTAGTTGAGCCAGCAGCGTGCAAGGAGACCCTTGCACAAGTAGCCCAACTTCCAACACGGAATTAATTATTCATTCTTCCTTTAGACAGACACACCAATCACAGGGCGCTCGTATCCAAACGGGCAGCAGGATTTTAAGCGGAATGGGACAACTCTTGGCACTGTACCTGGATGAGGTGCAGAAGCGTTTCCTGCAGCTGCAGTTTGGTGATGGAGGGGCTGCTGGCCACGGCAGCCTCGGGGGCCGGCAGGGACAGGAGCAGGCTGGCCGAGCTGGCCGCGGGCTCGGGGTTCGCTGCTGCCGAGCGCCCGCTCTCAGCGCCTTTGGGGACAGCGGGCGTGGGCTGGCTGAACACCATGGGCGACATCAGCAGCGTGGGGGTCACAGTGGCAGGAATGCGCTGGGGGGACATGACCTGTGAGGGTAAAAACACAGCCATCAGTGGGAGCCACCTGCTTCATTCTGCGGGGATGGAGAGGGTGAGGACTGCACAGAGACTGGCAGCGGGCACAGGCTGCTGGACATCAGTACTGTGAGTACAACTCCAGCTCAAACAGAACCCCTCTAGGGTCTGTTCCCAGATTAAAGGGCCTTCAATCCAATCTGAGATTGCAGACATGGATTCAAGTGTCATAAATCTGATAGGCAAATGTTCTTAGGACAAGTTAATTTTATTACAGGAATCAGACTACTATTAAATATGAGCACTTAAAGAATGCAGCTGTAAAGTCTTCCACACAGGGACAGCAAGTCAGGAAATTTAATCTTTGAGAACATGAGACATATAAATATCACTGTTAAAGACTAACTCCTGTACCTAATACTAGAAAGTATTTCCCAATTATAACTTTCAAATTACTTTATAAATATCTCTATATGTGTGTATTTCACCTTCTCATTTTACTTAAGAAGAGAGAAAACAAAGCCATCGATTCAGTGATTTAGCTAAAGATCCACAGTGAGCTCATGGCACTGTGAGAAACAGAAGAGACTCACAACCAGCACACCCTGACAAAATCAAAATGGCCTCAAAAAGAATTTTGATGCTGCAGCAGTTCCCTCAGCATCCTATCCACACCAAACTGCACATCTGCCAAATAATTTTCACCTTTTGCAGTGAACTGTAAAACATGCAGGATTAGCAAACACCATCAGATATAATATTAGCAAATACTATCAGATGCAATATACAACATAACAGACAATTAATTCACTCAGCTTGCAGACATAAGATCTCTCTCCAGGTAATTCCAGTAATAAACCTTAATCCTAATCAGCCATCTCCTTTCTATTCAAGTATCTAATCTTTTTAAAGAACATACGAAGGAATTGATACAAGCTCACCAAAGCTCCTCCCTTTTGGACTGCAGCAGGATTTATTGCAACCATGTTAAGGTGAAAGGCTACTGAATCACTTTACTCTGTGTCCTGGATTACATTTCAATTTTGAAGAAAAATTAAGGCTAAGAATATAGAAGTGAAGTTGATTTCTTACGTATGCAAAACCACAGAGATTAGCATTAAAGAACAGTCCCATTTTTGTAGCTTGTCTCTTTCTCCTAGTTGTGATTGTTCTACCCAAGACATTTCTGAACAGTGTTTGTGAGACCACGATACAAAAAGAAACAGAAACAAAGAGCACTGAGATCTCATGCTGTTTCATGGAAAATTTAAGGAAGCAGAAAGACTACAGGTCAGGAAAGAAAGCATGCAATATACACCTAATGGAAAAATATCTCTTTTTTTCTCCCCCCCCAATATTTACCCAGTTAGGTAAATATTGTGTCTGTTTCTCAAATGCAGAGTACTACAAAACTCTTGACTTCAGCTTTCTTCCAACCCCACAGCATGTAACCAAAACAGCAATCACCAGGTCTGTGTTCCATGCCTCTGACTAAGCAGAAGTACAAACTGACTGAAGGTTTGCACACCTATGCTTAAAAAACATTCATTTTAGAAGAAAACCAGTGTGAGTCCAAAGCGACATCCCTCTGTGGAGTGACACCTTCAGACTCTGCACAGATCTCCTCCTGCCTGTGGAACACCAACTACTCCCAGATACTCATCCATGCTGCTGTAGCAACTTCTCTTTGATTTACCTCCAGCAAAACCGTCAGGGTTTGTTTAAACAAGATTATTCTTCCTAATGTGATTTCAAGAATGAATATACAAAACTGCTCTACAAGGGCAAAAACCTCCTGCAGAGGGAAGGTTGGGATCATCTGGAGGAGATAAAGTGTCCCACTAACACAGCTGAATTTACAGCATACCCAGATAACAGGGCCTTAGAAATCCAAAGACGTTTTTCTCATTTGCCCAAGGCAAACAAACAAAACCTGAGACAATTTGTGCCCTTAATAACAGACAGCTCCTCCTGACAAACACATGTTGTGGTTTAAAAGACACAGGAAGAATGCTTTGTGTTCTCTGGACAGAAAGGTCTGTCAGGTAGGACATGCCAAGCATATGGAAACTATATGGCATGAGCAATATTGCCATCTGCTGGTGACACAGCCAACATCGACAGGCTACTGCACAACTTCAAATACTGAGCCAGAAGAATAGAGAATATCCGTGTCTTTATTCAATGCATACCATTTATGTCTCTACTCAAGGTTAAGGCATTTTTTGCTAACGGGTCAAGCTCAAAGCTTCTGCCATTGAACAAACCTCTGCATAAAAAACATGGATTGTTTGGGCTTTGTTTCAAACATAAAGCAAAATTTTCATCTGAGATTCAGCTCAGACCACCTTGAGCCACTGGTACAACTGACACCCATCAGAAAACAGGACACTGATCTTGGCATTACCAGTGCAATTCCTGTAACATCATGCTTTTGCAGAAGGCCCTGTAAATACTCTGTAGGGACATTAACAGCCTTTGGACCAGTCTTCTAGCTTTGAGTAACTCCTCACCAGTCATAACAGCCCTTCAAAAAATTCTGTTGATCAACTTCTTACCCACAGAACCTGAGCTGCTTGTTCATCCATTCTCCCCAGCTGTCAGGTCAACACTTAAGTCTCTGAGTCACTAATAACAGAGTAGGAGTCTGCCATCAGCTGTGCAGCACTGAAGTAAGAACAAGAAAAATGTGCAGAATAACTGGTGCAGTGTCTAACCATCCTTTCCCTGAAGCCCAGATGCTCACTAAGATATCAGCTTGGTGTTCTGTGCGGCTGTTGGCAGCTGGATGACCACAGCTGGCAAATTAATGTAACACCATGGACCAAAGAGTGCACTGCAATGCAAACTGGCACCTTCTGCTGCTTCCTGTGTGAGCAGAATCCCAGGTGGATCAAGTGCTCCTCTGGAACATCAGCACTTCAGCATTGGTGCTGTGGGCCAAAACAGTTTTCAGAGTCACTGCTTAAAACTGAGAACATAATTCTAAGAATGGTTCAGGAACTTTAAAGGCAGTGAATTAAAACAAAGCTGCCTACAACACTAACATTGCTTTATCTTTCAAGGTTAATTTAGAATATTCTAATTCATGTTTAGCTACAGAAGCTGAAATTACTTGTTGAAACAAGCTTAATGCACCTGTTTGCATTACACAATTGCATGCTGAAACTGCAGTCAGGATAACAGAGAAGCAGTGCTGAGATGCTCACACCAAAGACACTGAGTTTCATGCACATACTCAGAAGATGCAACATTATGTACAAAATACATTCTTGGTAGAAAAATGCTCCAAGAAATGCAAAAAATGAGCTGCAAGATATGCAGCCTTCTGAAGAAAAGATAAATTTGTGTCTGGGTTGTTGTAAGCACTTTTGAAACCATAATTCTGGTTAACATAAACTCTTTAGCATGCACGTATCTATAATCAGTATAACACATGCCTAACACTAAACATATCCCTAAAAGCCCACTATAGATTAATGCTTTTTTATTGAATCTTAAGCACACATTACTCACTGTCTGCATAAGGAATATTTCACAAAACAGGTCTGGCACCACACCAGGCTGAATGCTTCCAATAATTATTGTTCGTTTTTTGCTTTTTGCCTTCTTCTCTTTTTTTTTTTCCCCCCCATTTTTTTGGTAACTGGTCTCTTCCTTTCCATGTGGGAGATCACAGTTCTTATACCATATGGAGATGCAGCAGAAGCCAATTTAAACTTGGACTTGTAATGTGTCAGTTGTGGAAAGGACTATTGCTTACATTTTCTTAGTGCTGCTGATGGATTTAGGGTGTTCCTTTAATCTGATTTTTCCAACAACAGACACTGCTCACATATCTCTCTATTCCTGTCAGACTTTTGCTTTTTCTGTATGATGAAGCGTAGTAGGAGAGGCAATACCAAAAGACAAATAATTACAGAGAACAAACCTTTTGCTGCACTTGTTGTCAGAATCTGCTTTGATCAATTTTGCATGAGCATGTGCAGATATATTTGTGCCAATTCAATTTCACTCAAATATCTACTCTGCAGGCATGGCAGCACTTGAAGCCTCTGGTCTACTGCAAGGATAATACTATAAAAAGATTAATGTTGGTTTTAAAAGTTGTTTTTTATCTTCCAGGTTCTTTTTTAAAAGCAGGCATGTTTTGTGTGACTAATTCATGGCTTCTAAAGGAACAGAGTCCTTCTTTCATTTTTAGCCTCCCTGCTTTTGTGGCAATCTGCTGTATGTGAAAGAGGCCATTCCTCCCAGACTGCAGAGCTTTAGGTGTCCTAAACAATAATTAGTGACACTTTCATTATCATTTTTAGTCTGTGCATTAAATCTCTAAAGTTAATGCATCTAATATTGTGTTGATAGCAGCTGTGGCAGCCTGTGAAACCACTCCTGGACAGACTCAGTCTCCTTTTTCTGCTCACAGCCCTGCAAAGAGAGACTGAAAATCTCAGTTGCTGCCTTTTTTTCCTTTTTTTTTTGGGCAAATTTGCAGCAATAATCACAGTGAAGACTCAAGCAGTCAAACTGTTGCAAGACCTCGGGAATTGCCTTTCCACATTGCAATGAATATTGCACCACTGTCTTTTTCATATATACATTCAAGTCATTGGCCATAGCAGCATTTGTAGGGACTTTTCATCTGAAAAATATATCAGCATATTTCCTTATTTTTTATTCATGCATACTGACTTAGAATGTATAGCCTGGACTTGCCTCATTTCCCTTTTATCTTCATTATGTCCTCCCTCGTGCTATCAGTACATGTACCAGTGAATCACACAATTTCTTACATTTAAAGCAGGCAAGTTCCATTCCCAGTGAAAACAAATCAATTTTTTTTTTCACTTTGGATCCTCCTTTTATTCTTTAGCTCTCCACTGGAAAGTCAAAGTTACCATCTGTAAGCAACTGATCCTGAATAATTTCAATGACTAATCCCCAAAAACCTCTTTCATACAGAATTAAATTCTACTGCATTAATTAAAAGAACAAAAATAATGATGGCTATTTGCTGTATCAAATTAATATTCCTCCTACCTCTCTCATGGAATTAGAAAACTTGACCTGTCACAAACTTAGTGACAGATGTGGCTCTTTTATTATTGGCTCTTTCAACTTCTTCATGTATAGAAGAACTTTCTAGCATGTTGAAATATCCTGTAGTCTTTCAATCAGGTTTTGACAGAATTAGAAAAACAGAATAAAAGAGAAAAACAGAATAAAACAGAAATACAAGAATGGAAGAGTCACAATAGAAAAGAAGCTTTTCAACTTGACACTGGAAAGGGGAATGCTTGGGATCAGTAACTTCTAGACTCCCACACAAGTCAGACTCCAGTACAACACAGCCTATCCACAAAAAAGGAAGATGAAAAGGGCTGAGATGCATTCCCAGACAGGACATTAAAGACATTTTAGTGTAGAAAATCCTACAGAAAATGAAGTTGTTAAAGACAGTAGTTGTTTTGGATGGGACATTGTGTAATTGCACATGTTGCTTTTCTGAAGAACATAAAAATGTGCTCATGAGAGAGATACAGTTTCTTAACATCTCCTGAATTTTTTTAAGACACCAATCTGACTTCCAGGATCAAAGTAAACAGAATTTTTTGATGTCATTCAGGCACAAGACCTATTTTCAAAATAAAACACAACAAATTAAAGAAAAATAGCTAATGAATATCCAGAAGTAGCAGGTGAGGTACAAGATAACTAACTGATTAATATAAAAATACTTCAAAAAGCTGCTGTTAGAAAACAAGGGACCTTTTAAAAGTATCTTTAGCAACTGGCATACAAAAGAATGCACATCTAAACAGAGAAAGCTTGACTAATTTTGCAGAAAATAATTATTAAACCTAAAATATTACACTCAGTAGCAAGCAATTACACATAACAGCCCAAGTATGGCAAGTGCAAACCAGGTGACTTTTCAAAGGGGCTCTGGGATAACCCAACACTGCAGGATTTCTGGTCGTCATTGATGTGTAAGAGATGATTTCAGGATTTACAATATCACATCTTGGCAAATCAGAACTTACTCGGTGTTGGGAAAGTATCACTTGCAAAATGAATCATGTGCAACATGCAGCACTGAAGCCAAGAGTAACCTCAGAAAACATCAAGTTGAAAAGACTGCTGGGTATGTATTTATCTCTGATGAAGAAATTCCCCATTTACCTGGAAGAGAGCACTCTGTTTTTCTGTGCCTGGAGCCTTTTCCACCCAGGAATCCAGTGGTTTCAGGGTGTTGGTGTTCTGGGTAACAACTGGGAACTTAGCTGCCAACGTTGGTCTGCTGGATACGTGGAGCTGCTGTTCTTGTTGCACTATCTGGAGTTTTTTCAATAATTCTTGAGGTGAAATCACCCCAGAATTGGCTGTTTGACTGCCAGAGAGAGGAAGTGGCTGTCTTGGAAGTTTGGATTGTTCTTTACCAAGTGTCTGAGCCTCTAAAGTCTGGCCTGGTAGGGACCCATTGAAATACACCAGAGGGGGCTGGCTCATGTTATTTACTGGTGCTGCTGGTGCTCCAACAGGAGCAGGAGTCCTGCTGAACACGGAAACTGTTGAGTTCACAGGTCCTGTGCCACTGGGCTCCACTTTAGTCACCGACCCTGACTGACTTTGCAACTTCTGCAGCAAGCTCTGAGTGCCAGCAGCGTCCTGAGCTCCGTGAGCCGTTGCCATGCCGTGGGGAGTCACAGGCTGGAAGAGCCCTGTCAAAGTGTCCCCCACGGGAGGGACGCTGCCATTTTCACAGAGACGGCTCTCGGGGAACTCAGCCAGGGGATGGAGCTCTGTGCCACGCACCATGAGCTTCTGGATGGCGGGGCACAGCTGCTTCTCCGCACACGGGGAGTGCCTGCTGGGCTCCTCGTAGGACAGCGAGCGAACCACACCCTGCCGGACAGGGAGGCTCTCCTGGTGCTGCTTACTGAGTGCTTCGCAGACATCTGCCTTGTCCTGTTTGCCAAACAGCGCTGTCAAAGACAAGTGCTGCGGTTCAGGATCCACACCCTGTGAGGGGACAAAGGAAAAGGGGAAATAAACATAGCTCCCTCGTGCAGAAGTTACATTAAGCGGCAACAATATTCAATGAAAAGCTGAGAAAACTGCTATGCTCTTTTTTCCCCCCCAGGAGGATTTTTAATAGTTTTGTCACATAGGAAGGGCAAGAAGAGTGTTGTCAAGCTGCTAATGTGGGAGAAAAATCAGCGAATCTGAGATATAGCAGTGGCTTTGCTTTAAATAACATGAAAGAGCATCTTCTTTTACAGCCATCAGTACAATATTAGTAAGAGACAGAAATCTGCCTGGGTATGAAGTAGAGCCACTTCTTGTGCATCTGCTGGTCACAGCTGAATTCAGTTTTTACGATTTTGCAGTGTGATTTGGCTTGAAGATATACCAAGAGACTTTTCTTTATTTAAATGATTTCCCCTGAAAAAAAAACCAAAACAAACAAAAACCCACAAAAAGTGTGGTCCAGCAGTTGACTAGATCAGCTTGTGATCAAAATAGCCTGAAATTTGAAACCTGAAATTTGAAACACCAGTATTTCTTTGTTGCATCAGGATAGTGTATCTCTAGTTATGTGTTTCCATATAATATAGTGGGGGTTGGGGAGTTTATACAAACCAGATTAGTTGTGCTATAAAATCATTCCTTACAGTGGCTCCATCTCAAATTCTTGCAGTGACCTTCCAACCCAAATCAATGTTCCTGTTACTCAGTGCAGCAGTCAGAAAACACCACGGATTTTACCTTGCTCTGCTGGGAGATTCGCTGATGCTGATTCTCGCTGGGCTTCACTGGAATGGGTTTGATTAGGTTGGGGTTGCTATAGATTGCAGAGGAACTGGTTATTTGTTTTGGCTCTGAGCAGGTCTTACACTGAAACAGAAAAAAAAGGATTTCTTAGTATGTGTGACAATATCTTCTCTCCTAGTTCCCAACCACAGTAAAATACAGACATAACCAGGTATTCAATAACCAAAAATACTAACTGCAGCACTGATGAAGTATTATGCAATTAGAAGAACTGTAGCAACGGAAACCTAATTTTCTAAAACCACAAGACATATGTAAAATTGAACATCTGATTCCAAGATTTCCCTTGTATGAGGCTTCCCTCTAATTTAAAGCTCAGTAATCTTTTTGGCCTTCTGCTTTTCCTGCACTTCAAAAACATAAAATACATTTAAAAGCACCTTAAAAACCAACCAACAGACATGCTTTTCCTGCATCCAGCAGGCAGCTAGAAGTAGTTTAGATCCATGAAGGAATAGTGTGCCCATAAAAATAATTTAAAATGCTTTAGTCAAAAAGTAGAATTATAACTCAAACTCTTTTACATAAATCTTCATATGGTGGGAACTTGCAGGATGCACATACATGCTCAGAAAAATAATTAAAGATTTAATCAATTTGTAGAATCAGTAGGATTTCTTATTAAATATGCCTGTTATAAAAAATATTTATATAAAAGGTGGTCAGAGACAGCTAACTAAAAGAGATCAGGGACAAACAAAGTCATGTGGAGAGAGAAGGGCATGACTTAATTCAGACAAAAACCACATTAAATGCTCCATGAAAGAGAAATAATAAATGGAAAAGGGAAATGTGAATAGGATGCTATATATAAGAATATAGTCAATGAAACTAAAAAAGCATTGGGTATACAGGGAATGGCACTGCCAGTAGAAGACACATTTGAAGTCATCGTCACTTGATACAGTTGAAACCAAGAAAATGGAAGGATTTTCAAAAGAATTACTTAACCAGAAGTTAATTCTATTAACTATTAATTCTTCTGTTAATTCTAACCCACTCTCACTTAAGTAATTTCTCACACCCACTGCAACAATAAACAGACATACTGGTTCCAGGGCTGCCCAGTAAACCAGAACTGGAATTCTCATGGAGACTTAAGGGGCTTTGGTAGGTCATGAATACTTTCAGTTGTTTGTCAGATTGGACAGATCCTACATGGACCAAAATTGCACCTCAGTAAGATAAAATAGCAATTTTTCCCCCCAAACAGTTCTCTTTCTAATGATGCTACCTTTTCTTCAACCCATCTTCTTCTCATTGCTGTTTTTTCAGCATAACTTTTTGGGCAAAAAGCACATAAGCTTTTTCTTTAACACCATGGAGAACATTCTCTTGAATATTTCCCAGAGAGTTCTACAGAATTTAAATAATACCCTTATTTCCTCAGGATATTTTAATAGGCTGAATTCTTCAGAAACCTTAAGTACCTTAGATTCCACTGTCATACCCTGCATGATCACAGAACTAAGCACATAAAAATGAAGTGAGAAGCAGTAGTGTTTAACAGAGTTATCACTACATGAGCATATTTTAGACCAAATTCCTTGGCCAAATGAGCATCAGCACACACAGGAATGACATTGACCTGACTTGGTATCATTGCTGTGACTTGATAACAAGGTTAGTAGGTTGCTATCTAACACAGAAGCACAGAAGAGAAAAGAAGCCTGTGATGATATCAGAGGAATCTGTAACTGTTGGAGCTCTGAATATAAAGTCATTTTGGCAGATGGGGAGCGTGGCCTTGCTGATGAGTAAGTTGGGAGCACTAGCATGGCATTTTAAGCAACTGTCAGGTAGACAGGTAAAGATATCAGATGCTATTATGAACAAACAGAAAAAAGCAGCATCAAAGAAATGCCACCATGCTCTTTAGTGATGGAACTTGAGAGTCCTCACCAGCTAACAACATTTGCCAATTACTGTGCCTTGCTTCACGGGCCTCTCCTTTATTTAGTGTCATATTCAAAGCTCTGCTGCTACAAAAGATGCCCAAGTAATCAAAAGGTTCTAAGATCAAGTCAAAGAAAGGCTCAGCAACACTGGAACAAAACTAGACACACAAGGTCAATGTGGATCAAAAAGAGCAAGAAAATCACTGAGGGGGTTTTGGCAAGTTTGGTAGAGTCAGAGATATTTGACTGCTCTGCCTTGTGAGATTCACACTCCACCTGTACAATATGAAGCTGAATTTGCTAAAGGCTGGGAGAACTGTGCAGCACAGTTAAACCCAGAGTTAAACCCAGAGCTTATCTTGCAGTACAAGACAAGGCACAATGGTTAAGGAGAAACCCATTTTGTCATGCTTTGTTCTGTACCCTGGCAGATCTTCAACTGGTTTTCTCCCTGGCTGTCAGTGAGGCCAGCATTTTCTAACCAGAGATCAAAAGAAGGCAAGTGTACAAGAATTACATTAAAAAAAAACAACAAAAAACCTCAAAAAAACAACTCAGTGGTTTAGCATCTTAAAGCTCCATTAACTCAAAAAGGAAGGGGAAGCTATGTATTTTATTTTGCATATAATGCAACCTCCAAATGTATAACACAATCTGGGAATGAGATATACCCTTCAAAATTAGTTACACTCTTAAAAATTGAGCAAAATTACTTAAAAGTTTTGAAAATTGATGCTCTTATTTTACAGCTTCCAACACTTTAAAACACTCTTCACTGAATAAACACAGAATTCAAAGAAGAGAACAACATATTTCATAACTAATTTCAGCACATCAGATTGTAAGTAATAAAACATACACTGACAAGAAAGTAGATGTCATAAACCAGTCAAAAAGCATGACTGCTCTGAAACATATTGACAATAAATAGAAAAATGGTTGTCATTGCCTTTATTTATCACACTCCTTTGAAATTTATATTACTAGCAATACAAGAAATCACACACATCCTGTTCATAAGAGGTCAGGCATTTCTAGCACTCACATCCCAGATGAAGATGAGGAGAAAGTTTTCGTGTTATTTTTTATGTCCTTGGCAATCCCTTAAATGCAGAAAGATGAAAGATAAAGTAAGAAGCAAATCTGCAAAAGGTTCTAAAGGGAAAAGAGTCCTAAAAGCTATTATTTAAACAACAGAATTTCATCTCCTTTGTCTTGATTTCTGTGTGCTAATGCAGAAATGGAAGGTAACATCTTTTAGATTTATCACTCTCTTTTCACAAAATCTGGAGACAGCCTAATATTTTTCCAGTTTTCCATCTGCAGTATTTTTAAGGTTATCTAATGAGAACCTCTCAAACATTTCAGAACGTCTCAAATCATATTCTCTGATGCCAAGATTAGATACTGATTCAGTATTAAAATATGGGAAAAATACCAGGTTTTGGAAGTGTTTGTCTACTATAATACATTAAATCTCTACTACAGAAAATACAAAGGCCCCAAGCTTCAACAGCAACTATACACAATAAAAAGGGCTCCATTTCACCCTAGCTCAAATAGTTTGCCATCATCTTTCTGAGGCTTTTATTAGTAGCTACATTTCAGAAAAAATAAACTCAATACATTTAAGGAGAGAAGAAGTTAAGATATATGCACATTTCCAGACTCTTATGGAACACTTAGGAGCTCTATTTTCACATGACAGCACATAAGCAATACAGGAAACAGCAGCAGGAACCTGCAGGCTCTGTAACAATTTGCAGCTTATATATGGATAGTTAAAATTATTAGATTTTTATTCCCCAAAGTAAAACGTTTTTGATTGCTCAATAATAGAGAACATTATTAGTCCATTAGTTACTTCTTTATTTAGAAGCCTCAGAAGACCAAAGCAGCACACGGGCTGAAATCATACTACATTTCAACCTTTTCATTTCCTTCCATTAGTGCCTGAAAGAAGCTAACAACCACAATTAAAAGCAGTAACTTCACTGTCAAAAGTCTCCTGAACCAAGTCCTTTGTACAAACCACAGAAACTATCACCAGGTAAATACTTCACCTGGAAAGAGGGCAGAGCTTGCAGGTGCTCCTCGATAGGCACAGAAGCTCTAAGGGTCAGAATGAGAGGCAATTTATACTTGTTCTTATCCTCTACCATTCAACAAGTAATCAATCATATCCACATTCTCCTTCCAGAACTTGTTACTGACAGCATTCATTTCTTTTGAATTTTTAGCAAATTCTGTCCAAACTTTTTTTTACCAGCCATTTCTACACAAAATCAGAGAATGCACTGTCCAAAATCCCTTGAGTAGAACTATTCAAAAACCAAAATCAAACCTTTTATGTGGGAGCAAGTCTCACCTTGGTATACTCATCTTTGGCCTTGGTAAGCATCCGTAAGATATCCACTTCCTTGTTATTAGCAGAATTCATGATCATGGGGGACACTCCTGCTCCTGTGCCCTGCTGTGCTTTGAATTGTTCCTGTTGAGTTAGGCTGAAAGGTGGAGGATATATGAGAAAAAAAAGTACAGATAAAATATAAAAACTTAACCACAATTACTGTACAATACTTGATTGTAACTCAAATATTTGTCTTTCCCCATCTACTTTAAAACGTGCAGTAAAAAAATCACTATTAAAAGATCTCTATAAAATCATAGTTTGACATGAGATTAATTTTCTCCAATCTTGAATACACTAGACCATAGAATAAAATTTCCATAACTGAGTCACAATTTCTATACCCAGAAGGAGCAGGGAATTTATAGTGTTATTCAGTTCTGCTGGTGGTGGAGGATGGCAAACACACACAAATCAGGCATTAAGTACTAGCAAATGACCAATTTCCTGCCCCAGCTGTTTTATTATTATTGTAGAATGCTGAGAATTAAAACACACAGCCAATTGGCTGAGCAACAGGGTATTTTTTATCTATATGAAATACTGCTATTATAACCACTACACATGGTTTACATTTGCATGAATCCTCTGAAAACTAGGTTTTATTGTAGTAAATTACCAGTTTGAGAGCACCTAATCACCACCAACCGAAACTTGAGCTAGTTAACTAAAATGAGCTGTCAAAAACCTGGGTTTCCTAGGGTTCATTGTTTATTTCTGTAAATTCATCCCCATCAATTATTTCTTGGGTCACAGCTGACTCATTTTAGAGCTGTAGGATATGCAGTGAAACCAACAAATCCCACTGAACAAAACCCCACCACTGTCACAGTCTGCATTTCACACTGTTTTGTCACTGCAGAATGAAAAGCAGCAGGTATTACTTCAAAAAAAAGGATATATGGAGGAAAGATGACTACCTTCCCATGCAGTATTTTATCACAAATCCTATCTGGTGTGTCTAACCTCATATACCACAGGCAGCTGGAATAGTCAATCACTGCCTGTTCCTACCCAGCCCCTTTACTACATCCTCCACATTGCAGCTCTAAAAAATATAGATTGCATATTGATAAAACCCGTGTGACTTCAGCTCCTTCCTTCTCCAAGCAAACATGAAAATCTGCATGACACAGTCCTAAGAAAAGGGTAAACAGTGCAGAAGAATGAGCCCCATCCATCCTGGACACGAGAAGAAAAGAGTGATACTGAAAAAAACTACCCATAAGACATTCTTAGGTTAAAATACAGCTGAGAACACAGTTCTGTGTGAAATCTTCACCTCTGGCTGGACTGCAAAATTAAAGTTTAACGTGTATAAAATCACATTTTTATGTGCATGAAAGCAATGACTTTAAAGCTAATTGAAGTCTTGCTTTCAATGCCAAAAACAAAGTGAATTTTGTATATATTGCTAAGAAATGAGGAAGCAGGAATTCAGCCATGATGTACAAACAGGACAAAACCCACAAAAATTGAATTAGTACAGTATGCACTCATGATATCCTGCACTTACCTTGACATAAGGAAAAAAAAAAAAAGGTAACAATATTAAAAAATAAAATCTCCTCAAATTGAAAAATATATTAAACCCCCAAAGAATACAATTCTTCAAAACAGATCTCTGAGTCATTGGGAAATAAATCATATCAACTGGTACACTCTGATGTAGCTGGAGAGCTGCACTACAAATTAGGAAAAATTACTGCAATACAGTGACTTATTTATGAAATGCAGGCTTGACACTTGCAACAACGATTGTAGATATAAGTTTTAAGTAGAAAGATATGATAATCCTAAAAACATAAAATGTGCATTGTATGTACAGAAAGACATCCATTAAACAACCACAGAAAGCTTGTTTACCCATCACTTACTTTTTCATGAGCTCTGCAATTCTTTGGCATTCTTCTTTATCATAAAACCAAATCCCATATATGGACACTGTAAATGCACATCAAACACAAACTATGAACATCTTCTTAAACAGCAATTCTACCTGGTAGATATTTAAATGTGATCTGTAAATGAATTTCAGAATTTATTTCCATTTTATATTTTCCCCATCTAGAAACACAAAATGACACCTCAGATCCTATAAAATCAAAAACGATCAAAGGAACATCTCTAAGCACGTAAATTACAAGCTCTTAAATATTCTATTAAGGCAAAGGTATTTGATTATTTTCTCCAGAACACTAAACCATTGGGGTTTTTTCTTTAAAAATCTTTTTTTGTCTGTCCTTTATTTCAGTTGTCACATCCATTTAACTCCACTACCAGCACACTGCAGGGAGCATTGCAGGCAGATGGAAGTAGGAAAATCTGTTTAGATTTCAAACAATGTTCAGGTCTACCTTATAGAGCATCAAAGTAGGTGGAGTGGGATGAACACACCTCTGCCTCCCTGTAGATTTGCTCTAATTCTGCCCATTGTTTCCAACAGGAGATCCTGGGTTTCCTCCTCCTTCCCTCCCTGGAGTTGTCTCTTAACCTTACCAGCAATTGGCAGTTCCTGCCATGTCTTCCAACACAGTGGGGGCTACATTTCATTTGAAAATGGATTTCATTTGAAATGGGTTGAGCACCTGTTCAAAAACAATTGCAACACTGACCCAGATGATGTAATATTTCCTAAAATTAGGAGAGTCCAAAAGCAATAACTCCTTCAATCCCATAGAGCCAAACTGGTGGCATATGGAGTGTACCTTGGCTTTGTAAATGTTTGCAAAGAAAATGAATGTACAGCTGCTTGCACAAGTATATTTTCTCTATTTCCCCCCAAATTTAAAGCTGTGTGTTGTCTTTTATAGACCTAAAAATGATCCCAACTGTTTAATACACAGTACCTTGGCAAAAAGTCTAAAATATCCCATAAATCAGACATCTTGTACACATACAAATACTAGCTTTTAAAATATGTACTGTCCTTTTTATGATTATTGAAAAGTGTGATGATTTCTTTCATTTACCTGAATATTCACCTAATAAAGGCAAGTAACATAATATGCACCAGCGTTCCTACAAATGTGCAATTTAAGAGATGAACTGCACAAGTAATCTCAGGTTTTTTTAACATAAATATTAAAATATGAATTTAAAATATACATTCATATTCTAGCACATTCCAATGGGTGTTCAATAATAAATTGTGGACCTGCAGAAGAGTGTGTGAACAACTCATAAAGTTCTAGAACAACAACCTGTTATGCAAAATTCCACATCTTTCTGACGAAACACATTTGAAAACGTGTCCAAATCACAAGTAACTCCATATTCTTCAATGCAACAGCACAGCAAGCAGACTGAGAATCCCAGACAAACCGAATTTGTTTCAATCAAGATTCTCATTTTTTAATAAAAGAATCTCCAATGGAGAAGAGTATTGATGAACTTTTGGCCATCTGCTCCATTTTCTCAAATTTTTTTTTATGTCTACCACAGCTGGTGGCACCATCAATTATGCAACACAGGCTGGACAGCTTCACCTTTGGCCAATGGAACAGACATGTCACAGACTATTTATGAATATCTAATAAATCTGAAAGCTGACAGTCCCTTGGAAATGCCAAAGTGCTTCTGGCCATTAGAAGCTGAAGACTCAAACTGGCTTCTTCTGCTGATTTACCTCAAGTCAGTGACAAACACAAGTAAAGTGATAACCAGAATAAATGACATCTCAGATTTTACACAACTACAACTAATACTTTGAAATACAATTGCAACAAACACAAATCTATTTGGGTCACAGAATGAAGACACTGGGTCTGTGCCACCAAACTGAACCACATCACCACCCAAAACATATCCCAGTTTACTCCAGTTTTAAGTCAGGACACTGCAGATCCAGAGACCTTTAGCCTGGAGTTCAGCTGAACTTCAAACTGACCAACATTTACTTTTGTGCCCTGGTTAAATGGAATTTTCAACCCAAATTAGGAAGCACAGCTGAAAGCAAGCAAAGACCAAAGCCCAACATGCTCTGACCTTAGAGCTCACCCAGTCAGTGGTGAAATCTTTCCATGGACAGTCCCACTGTTCTTCCTTCCCTGCTCTCATCTCTCCAGAACAGATGAACACTTGAAATACACTGAGAAGCAATCCCTGAGCTGATGGCAGGACAACATACCCCCAGCTCTTTCTTGCATGTGAGAATGAGGGACCAGTGAGAACACAGCAATCGTGGAAATCTGAGCTACAGGGAGTAGCCATGGCATAAATTCACACTACAGTACTATATTCTGCTATAATCTGTATTTAAAAGAAAAAAGTGCAAATAGTAGTAGTAAGAATGAATGTTAATGGCCTCCATCTTGATTAATGATGAAGAAAAAATAAAATAAAAAAAATTCTTATGTGTGTGGCAGCACATAAAACTCCACAACCAGAATGAGAACTTAAGCAGATAAGAACTTATAACTGTCAGGGAACCTGGCACACTCACAGACACACAGTACAATTTCACTGCAAGCTTCCTACCAGCAGGAAAACACTGCCTATTTTATCAGGATTAAACATAAACAGATTACTTTCATCTGCCTTCCCACTCTGTCAGACTGTTTGACAAAATAGAATTCCAGATCTAAGTATCATTTGTAGACTGGTAATTTCATCTTCATGTTAAAAATGAATCATGAAACATCAGAGACACAAAGCAAATTTTCCTACTGCCACACAGAAGAGGAAATATTAAGGCACTTTTAGGCCCAGCTTCAACCATAAAGTTATGTAAGAAGAGATGATTGTAAAAAACTAAGGTACAAGGGAATCCCAAAAAAAAAAAAAAAAAAAAAAAAAAAAAAAAAAAAAATGTAAAAAACAGAAAAAAATAAAATCAAAGTCAAGTAATGTATTGATGACATTAAAAGAAAAAAAAAGCAAAAATTGCAATGTTGTTTAACAGATTACAAAACTATGACATAATTCAGCTATGAAATCAAGAAGACCCAATTAACATTGAATGGGAAGCTAAATAAATTACTTAAATAAACTGACTGAAATTATTAAGGGTATCAGTCTTCAGAATTTTTAGAATT